GATTGCTAGACTTTTCTTTTTCTTTCTTAACTCCTATTGTTTAAACTGCCTCTTAAATATTGGTGTTTGATTGTGAATCCTTCTCTAGCTTTGATTTTCCTAAGAGGGCTCATCCGCATCCTTAATTTCAGCTACGACCAACATGTGCTTGATTTCCCAAACCAAATTTTAAGATCAGATATTATTCATGGGCTCTAAACCCAATGTACTATTAGCTGGACACCTTAATGTGGATAGCTGAAACTTAACATCTCTAAAACAGTTTATTTTTCTACTCCAAGTTAATGACTGTTCTGTATTCTGTGGTGTACAGGTATTGAAGCCAGCTTCTACCATGGTATCAATGCTTTTTACATGATATTTATTCCCTTGTTATTAGTAAATTATATCTAATAAACTAGGTGGTCCAAAAAGATTTCTAGGTGGAGTGTTCAAGTGCTTCCTGGCTTCCTCTTGCTGATTATAGTAAAATGTGAGAAAGTGGAGGATAGAATGGTAAACATGAAGGGCACAGGAATTGCTGATTTTGAAAATTATCAGCCTCCTTGGTCAGTAAATTATGCTGTAATTGAAAAATGGCTTTCCGGTAAAGATCAAATTCAGAGCAGTGCCAGGAAAAATGTGTTTAAAGATTGAAGCTTAGGGTGTGGCTGTAAAATTCTTTTAGAGATCTTAGAAGAATCCGAAGTGGTGCCTTGGAAGTTTGTCTAGTCAAGCAACAGGGCTTTTAAGAAGCTTAAGGGTGGTGTCCATCAGCCATCTCTGCAGCCCAAGGTAGAGAAGGGCTTCTTTTGAAGGGATTTGTGGTGTGGCTTTTTTTTTTTTTTTTTAATCTAATGGAATGAAGTCCAATAAGATTCACAGAAGACTTGAGTATATTTGAGAGAATTTTATTTGCAGAAACATTGTAAATTTAGACTGAAAGAGACAGAGGGCTACAAAACCAAGAGACCTTTAGTTCCCCAAATTTCTATGGGGAGGAAGCAGACTGAGAAAAGTTGACATTGCTGCAAACACAGGCTACTTTTCAAAGGAAATAGAAAAGCAATTTTTAAGGTGAACCAAGAGTCCAGAGGGTAAAGCAAAATCATGAGAAGTCTTCCCTGGCCTCCAATGCTGATGAATAGCTTGCCAATCTATGCCTTTCAGGATTTCAGAATTTCTGTGGCCCAGTGATTCCTGTGGCATTTATTTGTAACTCCCCATTTTGAACTGGAGTGTCTCTAGGAGTCAGCCTACACCTGTCCTGCCACTGTATGTTGGATGTGTAGAGGGCAGGTAACTTGTCTTTTTAGTTCACTGGCATTCAAATCAAGAGGAACTGTGCTCAAGGGCCATACTTAGGAAACTAGACCCGAAGCACCTCACGTATACCTGGATCTAACTTAGATGGTGAGATTTCAGACTGTGAGCTCACCTTATAAAGGAATGAGAATTTTCTGTGCCTTAGGAAGGGTTAGTATATTTTGCACGTAGGCAGAACATGAATCATTGGGGCCAGGAAATGAATATGGTCCCCAGTCCCCAAGATGGTCCCCAGTCCCCAAAAATTTATGTGGCTTTCATCACCTCCTGCTACTTATGTTCCTGCGGAGTCCTGCTCATGTTGAACAGGGCTGACCTATGCAACTGGCAGGATACTGAGGAAATGATGGAGTGTGACTTCAAAAGCTGGGTCGTAAGACAGTGCAGCTTCCATCTTGCTTTCTCTCATATCATTTGCTCTGTCAAGTAGCCTTATGAAGATGTCTGTTTTGCAAAGGACAGAGGCTTTCTGCCAATAGCCAGCCCTGATTTGCCGGCCATGTAAGTGAGCCACTCCTTGGAAGCCTTCGGAGGACTGCAGCCCCCCACCCCCTTTCCCACCACCATATCCTCCACAACCTGAGAGATCCCCAAGCTCGAACCATCCCACATAGGCTACCCGCAAATTCCTGGCCTTCAGAAACTGTGTGAAATCATAAATGTCTATTTTTTTAAGCTGCTAAGTTTTGGGATAATTGGCTATGCAGCAGTCGATAACCAGTAGAGGTACTACAGTGGACTAATAAATCTGGGAATCTTTGTAAATTTATGTGGCTTCCTCATCTTGCCTCAGTTGTTAACAACTACTGTTCCTGACTCATTAGTCTCTCTTTAATTTACTCTTGTCTCCTCCACGCTCTCATAATTGATTCAAGGGGTGGAGAAGGGATTGGAGAGAATATAAAAATCTGTCATCCTGCTTTTTCTGTTTATATAGTGAATGTTTTTACTCGTAGTCATAGAACAACACACCTACAAGGAACTATTGCAGATATTTAGGGATCATCTTTTTTGTGTGTTTATTTTCGAGAAGCCACTCTTGGTCCTCAGAGTAGGAACTGCAGATGTTTAGAGCAGGCTTTTGACTTGAAGTATTTTATGTAAGTTGGGCTATGAAATATTTGTGTGAAGGGTTAGGCTAGGAGGGGCTGGGCTTCCCTGTCCTTGTGGAGAGAAGTGTGTGCCCTTGATAATGGGTTACAGATCCACAAACTAATCACAAATGAGGAAAATGGGACCGGAAAGGTTAACTATTGTTTCCAAAACCACACAGTTGGTTAGTAGCAGAGCTAACCTGGAGTCCTGGCTACCTGTTCAATGAGATAAGATTTGTTTCAGGTTTGTCCTTTGTTTTTACTTTTACTTATCTTTGCTAGTTTTAAGTGAAAATGATTCTATTAAACAAGGACTAAATGTTTTCCTTTTAATAGGTTGAGCTGGGTGTGGCTTCATGATGTTTCACCAGACATGAAAATTTTATAATTCCATATGTCCCCTTAGGCATTTCTCTGCCTAGGTCCTTTGAAATTGCATGAAATAAATTACCAGTGGGCTCAAGTCCAGTAAACATGATTTAGGTTACAATTTTGATCTTAGTACAACCTGTTCCTGCACAGGCCACTGTTTCTTTGTATATGAAGTTTGTCTGTTTTAAACTTGAGCATCATTTAACTGTTTAAAAGATTCTGCTTTTTAATATAAAGGCTTTATTTAAAACTACAATTTATTCATATTAAATGTATTTTTTTTTCTTTTTCTCCAATGAAATGTAGTCACTTTATATTTTAAGTGGTTTCTTTCTAAATATTTTGGATGGGTTTTGAGGCATGTGTGGCTTTATCTATCCTTATCAATCTGTACATATTCGTCAACTGAATGAATGCTATTATGTTTTTATAAAATATGTGAAGAATTATTTTGGCTATCTATTCAATAGTTTTAGTTTAACTTTGTTTTAATGTTTTAAAACATTTTAAACATTCAGAACCAAATTGAATTTGTGTGAAGACTTCTTGTGGATTCTTTTTCCTTTTCGGGTGTTATTATACTCTATAGGATTTGGGGTACTGGTACACCAAAACATTTACTCTTGTCTGTGAGCTAGTTTTAGAATATTAATTTGAATTATTTGGTAATTACAAGTAATATTGTTTTTAAAAATTATGTGATCTTACCAGCAAAATGATCACTTTGTTCTCCCTAGAATTTTGCCAATATATTATGTCCCTTTAATTCCACATAAAGTTATATTAAACATCTTTCATTGAGCTGTTCAACTTTTTGATTTATAAGTTCCTTTAATCTTTGACCTCTTACTCAAAATGAATCATGGATTTCAGCTACTTACCTCACGCTGCTTTTTATTGATAGTACGCTAGAATAACCTCTCACCTCTATAGCTTTTTTTTTTTTAATGTCCCTGAGTTTCCTAGCAATCAGTATTGCTTTTCTCTTGCAATACATTTGTTTCCCTCTTCCTAAATCCCCTCACTCTCTAGGAATCCAAACTGTTGAATTTATTCTATTTATCTTTCTCTTTTTATCATTTTTCTCCCACTTTGCCATACCATCCTGCCTTTTCTCGTGGGGATGAGCTTCTCAGTGTGGGAAAACAGTAAATTTTTTCTCCAGGTAGAAAATTATCTTCTGGTCCCTCACAGCCAGCTGTTAGGAAGGAGGTGAGGTTTCGGGGAGGCTCTGAGGCTCCCACTCCAGATGTGTTGCCAGCATGTCTAAGTGGACAGACTTGTGCTGGGAGGCCACTCTCTTGCCTGAAAACCCTAATGAAATGGGGTAAGGAGTCCACATGGGATCATCACAAGCTCAACCTTATAAAGGGTTTTAAGAGAAGTAAAGGTGGAAGCTCAAGCTAATTCTCACCGAATGTGTGTCTCGGAAATGCACTTGGCTGTAAAATAGAATATATTGTAGTCAGTGTCTGTGTAGCAGTTCACATGACTGAAAAGCATTGGTTTGTGAATGGATGATTTGGGTTTTGAAATTAGATATGAGGACAGCCTAGATTTTCATTTCTTTGGAAGCAGTCCCTGAGGCAGGTGCAGGGCGTGAGTAACGCGCCACACCTGAACTGTGATTTAGCCAATGAACACTAGGCTTCCCCTGGGTCCTGTAGTACGGTTTCCCTGTCTGTCAGGAGCTGGCTCAGCAACCAAACCCAGATTCCAGGTGTGGTATTCCACAGGCTTTCTGTAATTTGTAATCATAGAAACAGAATGTTCCTCCTCTTATTTCCTCCCTGCCAACAGTTTCTGGGTGGGTGAATGTCAGTAGCTGGAGTTATTTTTAAAGAGAAGAGGTGAGGCTTGTCGTGCAAAGCTGGGAAGAGGGCGTTTGTTTGCAGAGCAGAGCTGACATCAAAGTGTAGATTACTGCTCAGTGGCTAGGCACTTGTCCTCTAACAGGTAATGTTTAACGTGCCAGTCACAAAGATCACAGAAATGGTGTATGGTCGGGCATAAGATAGCACCACCGTTTATGTTCTGGAAGACTGAAAGCCTACACATGCCCATGTATTTTTTTTTTTTTTTTTAAATACATGATTTCGTCGGTCTTGCTGCCTCCTTTTTTGCTTGCTGTAATTGGACTTTGAAGCTTGGAAGTTATATCATAAAATTTTGTGACCTTTGTCTGAGAGAGAGCTCGGCTAAGCAGTCACTTTCCACTTCTTTTCACAGGATAATATAAACGTTTTTTTGAAAGCTTGTGAACAGATTGGATTGAAGGAAGCCCAGCTTTTTCATCCTGGAGATCTACAGGATTTATCAAATCGAGTCACTGTCAAGTAAGTTTCACTGGCTTGTTACATATTTTTTAAACTTAGAGCTTGTAGCTTCAGAGAAAAGAATTCCCGAGAGTTCATGGTTACTGAAAAATCACTCCTCTCTCTGTCTTCCTCTGTTCTCATTTCAAAACAGACTATTTAAAAAATAGCTTAGGGACTGTGACTATGAAGCTGTCTGTAACCGATGACAAGTCAGGGTCTTATTTTAAATCCCCATACTAACTGAAATGGTAATTTATATTTTAATGCTTGTCCAACACAGTCATGTTTGGTTGCTAATGGTGAGGGTAGTCATCGTACTTATAAAAGCTAATTTAGTAGTCGTATTAGCGTTTACAGAGTAAAAATAATTATTTAAAAATAGTTTTTATATCTTTGGAATTAAGACGTAATTGCTAACATTAAAATGAAAATGGGACACTGATGAGACTTTCTAATTATTTGGAAGGCAGCAGTACCTAAGACCAACGGGTAAAACTAATGACCTTGTCTATTGTGGCCGATTTTAAAAAACAAACTGTTTTTCACTATTTTAATAGTATGGACGAGAAAGTGAAAATGGAGGGTGGTAAAAACATGTGCACAGGTGTTGCTGTTGGATTTTAGATGGAAAATGGTGTTCATATGTGACTGATTTCAGGAAATCTGGTTTTAAGCTCTTGTGAGATTCCCCCTCACCCCCTAAATCTAATTTGCTTTCAGTGACTCAGAATAAACTCATGTTACTAGGTAAATGTGACAGGAAAATGACTTAATTTTGCAATAATGACTACCTCCTTATAGAATGGCTCCTAAACCTATTTTTCCCCCCCAAGGAAGAAAATGGAATAAAATATTTATCTATAGAAATAATATAAATGGAAAAATTAGTTTCTACAAATTCAGACAGAGATTTAGTTTATGGCTTCAGAGATTTATCGTAATAGCTCCAAGTTATGTAAAAACTGAGTGTAAAAATTTAAATATGGCCAGTGTTTTTTTCTAAAGAAAAATAACCCTATAGATACATATGTTTTATAGTACACATTCTCTTTCAGCAGTATAACCTAAAATCTCAGGTAGGGCTTTAATCTTTTAATCATTTAAAAGCCTAACAGTACATATTTTTAAATGAACAAGCCATTTTGAACCTGTGTGCTAGTTCTGTTGAATAAGCATTTCTAAACTATAGAGCAGTGATGTGTGCATGGCAAGGATGCATCTGGCTGTATTTCTCATTACTCGAAATAGTTGAGAGAGCCTAAGTTTCAGCGTCAGAATGGCGTGTTTACTTCCGCACGATGAGAGGTCATGTTCAATTTCTGTGGGAAAATAACTATGCAAAAACTTGTTTTATTTTTCCTAATCGGCATTCTCTCGTAAGACCTGAAGGGCAAAATAATTTTTGACTTGGACAGTCTTTTTCTTAAGTCGTTGCTGTCTATTAAGAATAAATGTCTTTCCCCCTTAAGATCATACTGTTTTGAAACTCCATAGCCGATGTTTGACGAGGCTGAGGACGAGGCAAAACGTGTTTGTTGGTTCCTAGTCCTATGGGTGCTCTGAGCAAAGCTTGCCTGGATCCTGTGTCCTGGAATGTTGGGTCTGAAGTGCTCAGGAAAAATCATATCTGGGCTCAGCTATCAGCAAAAACACTGACAAACCGAAACCGGGAGGTCACGTAGTTACAGCTGTAGTAGGAAGTATGTAGAACAACTTGTTACAGTTGAAACCACAGCACATTAAAGCAAGGTGTGCCGAAGTGGTACTAGCGAGCTCTCCTGAGTGAGAACCCTGATTTTGCTTAAGACCATGTCCCCTGATAATTCCATCCTGTGGAACTGAAGAGCCCAGGGGTCCACCCTGTGTCAGCTGCAATGGAATTGAGGGGTTTTGAGACATAGGATTCTGGCAAATGGCTTATTTGAAAATATTGGCCCAGCTCTTATGCTCTGAGCTAGTATTCTTTACAAAAAAGTTTAGAGGAAATCAAGTGATTGCTTACTGAATAGTAATGTATTTCTTTTTAGTTTTTATTCTTAGATAATGTGGAGACTCCTGTAGGTCAAATCCTGTCCTACCATTATGGTAGATTAAAGGGGTTGGCGTTGGTGAGACTGATGATTCTCACCAGTTTTGTCCCCAAAGGACACTTGGCAATGCCTGGGGACACTTTTGGTTGATATAGGTGGAGTGGGGGTGCTACTGGCTTTAGCGTGTCAGGAATGCTGCTAAGTACAGACAGTCCCCATAACAAAGATGTTTTCAACCCCTAAAATTGGTATACTAAGGTGGAGAAGCCCTGACTTAGAATTCCTTACTTATTTCTAGTCTGCCAGCAGGATAATCATGTGGAAGTCAAGGATACTACTGACTGACAGATTTTTACGATCTGCTAAATTGTAACTTTTTACTGACTAACATATAATAATTTATATATTTCCATGTTTGTATTCATCCACTTAAAAGAGTAGGCCCGCTATAATTCAAGGGTGCAGTTATGTGTGATGTGAGTACTTTGACATTATTTTGTTCATCTGTATACATTAAAATTAGCGAACAATGTGGCAGACTATTTGGTTATTTTAAATGCTTTATCAAAACTCAACTCCCAGGACTGCATTAACAGTTCATAGACTGTTGGTCTTGCTGCAAGTGGAATCTAAGATGCGTGTTTGCATGATGTACTGAGAGCAAATAGGGAAGAGCAGTTTATATGTCCATGTTGGCAAACGTGAGGTCTTTTTTGTTAGTGGACAGCAGTGATAAAAACATAAATGTCATATGAAGCCTAGGAGAGTTGTGTGTGGTGAGAATGAATGGCAGGAACAGAAACAATCTATTTAAAGAGCCTTTGCTATGAATAATGTCAACAATCCAGACCCTAACTACAAAACCTTATTTTTCAGCAACTTGAGATTTACAGTTTAATTTATAACAATAACTTTTCACCAGACAGAATTAGGGTACTCTTTATATTTCTGTAATTATATATACTAATATGTGATCTAATTTTCTGTAATTATATATATGAATATGTGATCTAATTTTCTAACTGAATTATTTTACTTTTCACAGGATGTAGTTTGAATTTTTCCAAGTATGTTTGAATTATTCCATTTATTTTGGGACTGCATATATTTAAAAGTCAGTTGATACTTTAGACTTTGATATTCCTGACTTTAATGGATAGGATCCATCTTTACTACTTTTCTTCCCCAAAGGCTATTAAATCAAATTTGTGACTTCGCCTCCATGAATGGTAGTTTGAACTTGAACTTATCCTAAGTTGTTTACTAAGATGTTTACATCCATATGTTTACTGAGGCCATGAAATTTAACTTCCATACCAGTGAATAACTGCATTGTTATTATTAACTATATTAAATATTCACACTGAATTCAGAAACATGACACAATCCACAGAGGAGTTGGTGTGACTCCCACATAGCTACGTCTGCATGCTTATGTTTAAGGCCTGTATGAGAGAAGCACAGTGGTCACCACGCCACGAGCACACTGGAGAGCTGCTATAGCAGAAGTCATGGTCTTTGTGGTGGCTGCTCATCATTAAGAGGCACAAAGCAATTGCTCGTTGTAGAAAGCAACTCGGCAGAGTAGCCCAGAGGTCCTGAGTTGGAGGAATGGAAGTTGGCAGAAAGGTAGGGTTGAACGTTAAAGGTTTTAATTTCACATGTCTAGCAATTTGACTCAGAAACTAAGTCTTGTATTTAAACCATTGCTCTAACCAATTATATATTGGGACTTTTAAGTTGAGAATTTGAACAGATTATAAACATGTTTTTTCTTTCTGCCCACTTATCATTCCAATCCAGTTTTTAGCACTTCCTTAGATACATTCTGTTCACAATACAATTATAGAATGGCAATGCTTTTGAACACAATATTTTAGTCATGCAAAGAAAAATTATTTTCTGATCTAGAATTACTTTCATTATTTAGGGTATTAATATTTTAGGCTTAAAATGTAACTTTAACTTTTGATATTGACTGAGTTTTTAAAAAGATTGATTTATCAAATGGAGGCTACAGAAATGAGAATCTTTTTTTTTAACACATGCTAGTTGCCAAAGGAACAGTAGTTAGAAGCAAAATTAGAGTTAACATATTTCCCTCGTGAAGATAAAGGAGGTTCAGAATGGTATTTTAAGGATTTAATTGTTCTCTAAAGCTTCTAAAAAGGTGCTCGATTTTGTGGCAATACTGTAAAATCATTCCTTAGGAATCAGTTCCCAGATGGCCTTCTTTTAACAGTTTGCCAATTGGGCTTGAGATATGAATGTGTGTATGTGTATTTACTTCAGCTTTTTACATGTAAGTAAAAATGTACCTACTTTTATTTATGTAATTTTTACCTTTCTCTGATTTAAACCTGGTTTTACATTTTCTGCATATCTCTCAAATAAGTTTCTCAACATTTTAATGTTTTTTTTTTTTTTTTTTTTAAAAGGAAAAAGGCAAACTTAATGATATCCAAACTTGGATCTGTAACTTGAGCATGGTGACTTCCACCTGTCAATTCATGTTACTATTTTAGAATGTTCTCTTCCTACTAAGTAATTGGAAGAGAGTAAAACAGAAAGGAAGTTTTCTGTACCACACACGTCTCTATGCTATTCAGTCATTCTCTGGGGTAGGTAGGTACGAAAGGGGACATTAACTCTTTTGGGTTGCCAAAGGCTCTGTTTAAGGCCAATAGTGAAAATCTATGGCCTGTTTTCAAATGTTCTTTAATTGAGAAGTTTGAATATCTAAAAATCTGCTTAGCTGCAGAGAAAAATGGTGGGGTATGAGGCAGGTCTGATGCTGAGGCAATCTATAGAATAACTACAGTTTTATCTGGTATTTGCTTCTCTCCATTTCTAGTTCTAAATTTATTTCTCAGATAGATAAACACGTTTCTAGATGCCAACTCTCCTTCCTTAGCTCTTTACTCCCTCAAATCAAAAAAGCCATGAGGCCTGATGCTGTCTTGCCTTGCTGAATGAGTCTTCATGTTA